CTGACAATATTAAGATAATTCAGGAGGCGACCTGGTTCGATCTTGCCTGTTAAGGACAGTCGTGATTGAATGAGAAACAACATCACAGTAGTGTTAGATCATGAAAGAAACGCACAACAAATTCCACCCGTGTAAAAGTTAAGAGTACGTCAAAACAAAACATATAACCATAAGTCAGACAACAGAAGGTTTCATAGCATATATTTCAAAAGAAATACGGGAAACACATGAGCCGTATCTAGCTTAGTCTCTAAAATTATTTTATTTTAGATTTGAGATTCCAATTCACTGGCTGTTTGACAGTATCCAGCGATTGTTTTTCTTTTTTTAATCATTACACGTGTTGTTCGTATGCCTTCAGGTCCCTCCTTGGGGCAATTAATTATCTCTTTCATTTGAACTTTACAATGCAGACTAAACGCCAGGCGCATTTTCTGCAGAGCAGCAACCCTTTAGCCTTGAGGGATGAATCTGCTGTAAGGTCAGCCAGACTCTAACCTCGGCCCAGACTCCAAGATCACGTGATAAAACAATGCCCTTGATGTTCAAGTTATAGTCAAGTGGCTAAGCATCTCGGAAAGGTCAGAGTGTAGCTCCAGGCCAGTGCGAACAGCGGAAGAGACAAAAACCGGAGACTTGGAGGCAGGGCATTCTGGGAAGATTGTGCAACTCTCACAAGCGCAAGGAAATCTGAGCCCCTTGTCATAGAGGTCATGGGAAAGTGCATCGAGATTAGCACAGTCATTTGAGATGAGATCGAATCAGCACAGACAGATGTGGAACAACGCAAAGGTAACGTTTGCTTGAGTTGAAGAGAAGCACATCCAAGCGATAACGGTCATTTCTGGTTGCACGAAAAAAAGTGAGGCCGACAGAAACAATGGGAAAGAAATAAGACCACCCGAGGGAACCTCTCCGACCACTCCCCAGTCAGAAGATAAAGAAAGAATGCTATTTGTAGCAGCCATACTCAGTATCCACACAGTTTCGCTATTCGTTCAGTTTATTTGATAGAGCTTGAAGCTTTCATTTAGGTTATGATAAGTTGATGCTGGTTTCGATACAGATGTACATGCACACTGACTACTGACTGTATACATTTCTATGAAATAATTACTCAAGGCGGTTTGCAGCTTCGTTGTCGTACTCAAAAGACGTGCGATGAAAAGAAGAGGATAGAGAGACAGAGAGAAAGATAGAGAAACAGAGACACTCACAGACAGAAAGAGAGAGAGAGAGAGAGAGAGAGAGAGAG